GGGCGTTCCCAGGCGCTCCCAAGCGCTCCCAGTGCTCCCAAGCGCACCCAGGCGCTCCCAAGCTTTCCCAAGCGCCCCCAAGCGCTTCCAGGCGCTCCCAAGCTTTCCGCGGCGGCCTACATCCCCTGTGGCTGCAGACCGTATGAAAATGCAGCATTCGGGGCCCCTGGGGCCTTCGCAACGTATAAAATTACAGCATGCGGCGCTCCAGGAGCTTTCCAAATGTTCTCGACCAGTTTCAAAGGAAATCAACAGAATTCAACGTGCGCCACGCATGCGGGCGGCGCCACGCCCTGGGGCTGCAAATCGTGCGCAAATGCTGCATTCGTCGTTCTTGGGGCCTGTGAAGCTTCTGAAAATTCGGAAAGCGGCTCTCCTGGGCTTTTCTAAAAGTTTTGGCTCCCAGACACTCCCACGTGCTTCCATCTTGGGGAAAGCTCGAGGCGCTCTCTCAGTGCTCCCAGAGAGCTCCCCCGAGGCATTCCAAGAGGTCTGCCATGGAGGTGCTGCAGCAGCCATGCACGCGCATCGTAGCGAGGGGGTGCCAGACCCACCCCCTCGCGCTCCCCCTTCCAGCCATTCGAAATTCGCGCCGAAGGCGGCTGCGTCGACAATGCAATCGCTTCAGCGGGGGCGACGCCAACGGTCTAGCCCAACGGGCAATTCACGGCTCGCGCTCGCGGTGCACTCTGCGTGTCCTGTCGCGCTCCCAGACGCTCCCACGTGCTTCCATCCTGGGGAAGGGTCGAGGCGCTCCCCCAGCGCTCCCAGAGAGCTCCCCCAAGGTATTCCAGGGGGTCTGCCATGGACGTGCTGCCGCAGCCATGCGCGCGCATCGTAGCGAGGGGGTGCCAGACCCCCCCCCCCCTCGCGCCCCTCCTCCCGCCTTCCGAAGCTCGCGTCGACAGCGTCTGCGTCGATGCTTGCAATCGCTTCAGCGGGGGCGATCTCAAAGCAAAACCCAAAGCCGCGGGCGAATGCAACTGCCGTGCGCGCCGCCGTCAGCGAGGGGCCCGACGGCGCGGCTACTCGCTCGAGGTCCACGGGGGCCCATGGGATTGCCGCGCCAGCGCCCTCGCAGTGCTGCTTTCCTACGCCGAAGGCAAATGCCGGACCTCTGTGGATCTGCTGCGCCAGCGGCAGCCCAACGGCGAAGCCCGCTGCCGAAGGCGCAACAGCTGCCACGTCGACGAGGCGAGCTGACGCGCCAGCGCCATGCACCCTGCGCGCGCGCTCGCATGGGCACGCGTTGCCACGGCCGCGACCGCGCGCGCGCTTCCCAGCATTCGCACCCCAGTGTCACAACCCAGTGCCGAAGGCAAAGGCGGCAACGCACTGACATGCTGCGCCAGGGGCAGCCCTGCGCGCGTGCTCACGTGGATGCGCAGTGCCACGGCCGCGTCGGCGATCGCCCGCGCGCGCCGCTTCGACAGCCCGCCGTGATAGGGGGGTCGGGGGGAGAAACCCTAAACCCTAAAAGGCTTCACTCTGGGTGGTCTGGGGCGGGGGTGCAAGTTCATAGCGCGCGCGGCTTGGGCAACGATCCCCCCCAACAACCTTGATGTGGGGGGGGGTCGCAGCCAGCGCGCGCATGCGCCGATGAAGGCCCTAAATTCCCAAGCACCTCGTTGTGCTTCTGCCCGCCCCGCCGCGCGTCACCGTCGCCGTCTACGATAGACAGGGCATCTCTGAGATGCTTGAACATGTAGCCCGAGTGGGTCGCCTTGGCAGCTTTTGCTGCTGCCCTCCCCCTCTTTTGGGGATTCGCGCTTCAATCATAACCCCCCCCTGATCCTCAACGAATACAACACCCGAAACCCCCAGACCTTTCGCCTGTAAGCGCCGGGGGCGCCTGGGAGCGCCTGGAAGCGCTTGGGGGCGCCTGGGAGCGCCTGGGAGCGCCTGGGATCGCCTGGGGGCGCCTGGGAGCGCTTGGGAGCGTCTGGGAGCGCCTGGGAGCGCCTGGGAGCGCCTGGGAGCGCTTGGGAGCGTGCCGGGAGCGCCTGGGAGCGCTTGGGAGCGCCTGGGAGCGCCTGGAAGCGCCTGGGAACGCGCCGAGAGCGCCTGGGAGCGCCTGGAAGCGCCTGGGAGCGCTTTGGAGCGCCTGGGAGCGCCAGGGAGCGCCTGGGAGCGCCAGGGAGCGCCTGGGAGCGCTTGGGAGCGCTTCAGAGCGCGCCGGGAGCGCCTGGGAGCGCCGGGGAGCGCCTGGGAGCGCCTGAAAGCGCCTGGGAGCGCCTGGGAACGCCTGGGAGCGCCAAGGAGCGCCTGGGAGCGCTTGGAACGCATTTGGGAATTTAGGGGCCAGCGGCCCTAAACCTTAAAGGCTGCAATTTGGGAGGTTGCCGGCCATGCGGCCGGGGGTGGGAAGATGTTGCACCTCCTGCCCCTTCGCCAAGCTTGATCGGGTCGGCTAAACGCCCCCCCAATCAAGCTTGCCGATGGGGGGGCAGCCTTGCCTGGACTGTCGGCCGCTGCGCGCCCGAGAAGCCCTAAACCCTAAACCCTAAACCCAAAACCCTAAAGACGAAAAGCACAACGCATTGGCCAGCCCGAACGATACCATGACGAACGATGCAGCGAGCCTGGCGCAAGCCTGCGCGAGCGCTCCGTGCGAGCCGGCACGAGCGGGACGCCTCCGGAGGGGCCCGACAAGCATTCCGTGCGAGCTGGCGCGAGCAGGAGCGGCTCCGGCGCGGCCTGACATGCATTCTGCAGAGCGAGCGCGAGCGGGCGCGCCTCCGCAGCGGCGCTGGCACGAGCGGGAGCGGCTCCAGAGATAGAAGGAGCGGCTCCGGAGCGGCGCGCCAAGCATGCCGCGCGACCCTGCGCGAGCGGGAGCGGCTCCGAGGTGGCCCGACAAGCGCTCCGCGCAATCCGTCGCGACGCGAAGCTTACGTGTTTCACGAAGGAATGCGGCATCGGCAGGCCCGAAATCTTGCCGTCGCGATGCGGATCCTACGTGTTTTACAAGGGAAGCGGGTCCGAAGCGAGCCTGCTAAGCGCAGGCCGAGTCGCGATGCGAATCCCACGTGTTTTACGAGGGTAGCGGGTCCGAAGCGAGCCTGCTAAGCGCACGCCGATTCAGCCCGCGGCAAACCCCGCGAACGCTAAACCCTAAGTCTCTAATCCTATAATTATTAAACCCTAAATTAATCAAAAGCGGCCGTTATGCAAACCGGCTCCGTCTACTTCCAAAAAGCGCATTTCCTGAGCATGCGCGCCGAATCTTTCGAATTTTACATTACAAAGTGCCCCCCGTTGCGTTCCGCCTCCATCTACTGCAAAATATATATTTTCCTGAGCATGCGCGCAGAATCTCATGTATTTTTTCATTACAAAGTGCCCAGCCCCCGTTGCGACCCACTGATGTAAACCCGCTCCATCTACTGCAAAAAAACATTTCCTCAGCATGCGTGCCGAATCTTTTGTATTTTGTAATGCAAAGTGCCCAGCCCCCGTTGCGACCCCGCACCATCTACTGCAACAGATAGCATTCCTGCGCATGCGTGCAGAATCTTTTGTATTTTACTGTACAAAGTGCCCAGTGCCCGTTGCGAGCCGCTCCATGTAGTCCACCCAATACCATTTGCTGCGCATGCGTGCAGAATATCCTCCGCCCGACACGACTCTTCCCGCCCGTTCGAGCACTCGCGTGCCAACAGGATCGCACATCAGTCGTCGCCGTCGTAGTCGTCGGCGTCGTCGACGTTGTAGTCGACGTGGTTCTGCCGAGGGGAGAGATGATCTTTATGGTGGGGTGGCGTGCGGGTGGGAGTGACGGCCACCGCAGGTGGGTTCGCGGTCCAGGTGTACTCGTGGCCACGCCTAGTAGACCCTAAACCCTAAACCTTCAATTCCCAAACACCTCGTTGTGCTTCTGCCCACCCCACCGCGTTTCATTGTCGCCGCCCTCGAAGGACAGGGCATCTCAAAGATGCTTCAGCAGGTGGCCAGACTGGGTCGCCCATACAGCCGTATGCTGCCCCACACTCGGGAGTCGCGATTCAACGATAAACTCTTCCTGATCCTCGAAGAGTACAACACCCTAAACCAAGAAACTTTTCGCTTCGAATCGGCCCCTTGGGTTCTCCGACGCGTAAAAACACGTGTGGGGCGCTCTAAGCGCTTCTGGGCGCACTTGGGAACGCCTGGGAGCGCCTGGGAGCGACTGGGAGCGTCTGGGACCGCCTGGGAGCGCCTGGGGGCGCCTGGGAGCGCCTGGGAGCGGGCCGGGAGCGCCTGGGAGCGCCTAGGAGCGCCCGGGAGCGCCTGGGATCGCCTGGGAGCGCCTGGGAGCCCCTGGGAACGCCTGGGAGCGCCTGGGAGCGCCTGGGAACGCCTGGGCGCGCCTGGGAGCGCCTGATGGGCGCGCCTCTGAAGAGCGAACGCGAGCGGGCGCGCCTCCGCAGCGGCCCGAAAGGCGCTCCGTGCGAGCGGGGGCGGCTCCGGAGCGGCCCGACAATCATTCCAGGCGAGCTGGCACGAGCGGGAGCGGCTCCAGAGCGGCCCCAAGCATTCCGTGCGAGCCGGCACGAGCAGGAACGGCTCCGGAGCGGCGCGGCGAGCATGCCGTGCGACCCTGCGCGGGCGGGAGCGGTTCCGAGGTGGCCCGACAAGTGCTCCGCGCACTCCGTCGCGACGCGAATCCTGCGTGTTTTACGAAGGAATACGGCATCGGCAGGCTCGAAATCTTGCCGTCGCGACGCGAATCCTACGTGTTGCGAGCGCCTGTTGGCCGCGCCGAAGCATATCCGACGCGAGCAGTACGTGCGGGAACCGGTTCAACCCGCAGCAAGGACCGCGAACGCTAATACGTAGTGTAAACCACGCGGCCCTGCAAAAGACGCGCCTACATCCGTGAAACAAGCGAGCTGCTGGAGACATCCCCACAATCTGGGCACGAACCGGTAAGTGACCTATCCCCTGGCGGCACCCCCTTGTGTTGCCTAAATGCTATGCTTGTCACATCGCGATGATTCTGATCGTGACATGGAGAAGGAGGGAGGAAGAGTGAGTAGATGGAGGCACGACGCGGAAAACAATGATTCACGACGTAGCACACGGGAATAAGCTCCGCAATCTCCTAGGACTAGTAGCGACACATCATGAGCAAGATCGTTGGTTCTGGGTTCCGCAGAGGCAGCTGCAGCTGCCGCCGCCGCCCTCTGCCCTGGAACCCGTGGGGCGAACCACGGGCTCCGCTGGAATTCCTAAATCACAGTTCTGGCAGATGGCCCATCCTGCTCACCCACACGGAACGCTACAATCCAACACCTCTGGGCCTGCTGCTCCTCCTCAGCCAGCTACTCCTGCTGCTTCCCCGACCTCCTCCGCTATTCCTCCCTCTGCCCTGCACGCGCGTGAGCGGATTCGTTCGGACAAGCCAGCGGACACCAGCAGGATCAGAGCCTGGAAGGCGCTGCCACGCAGGCGGCCGAGAGGGTCAATTGGGCTTCGGCTTCTGCCACTATGCCCGTTAGAAGGTCCTTGCACGTTGGAATGTCGCTGATGAGGCCGACACTCTGGCTGCAGGACCACATGCTGTCGTTCCAGTCCCCGGTCTCCTGCCACATCTTCTTGGTGCGGACCCCGCTAGCGTACGGGGCTATCTTCGAAAAGTCGACATTGCCCTGCATCTCCTCGTCCAGCCTGTTCATGGTCAAGCTGACGTCATTTCTGAAGACCCGAGTGGCGTTGTTCAAAGACCGCAGCACGACGGTAGTGCTCCTCTCGTCGACGTCTGGCCTGGCCATGTGCTCCTTGATCCTATCAGGAGGCCAGAGAACATATGCATACTGCCTTTCCCTCCCCCCCTTCAGCACAGGGGGAGTTGAGGGGGACCGAAAGGGAAACCAATGGCGGACAGTCAGAAAAGCTGGGAGATAAATAGGAGGATGAGGCGGGAGGAATAAGGAGTAAGAGAGGGCGGGAGGGGAGGTGGAGAGAAGAGACAGGAGGATGATGAGAAGTACCAGGAGCCCTTCAAACTTTGACTCTGTGCAGGAAGATATGGAAGAAGTGTTGAGCCACTGGCGGGAAGCGGGGGCTGGCTGAAAGGAAAAGACGATCCTGATTTCATTACCAGCTGTATAAATCGAATGGATAAACGATCTCGCAAATGAATAGCCGCCTGACCGAGAAGCCGTGGTGCACCGAAATCGACAAGCGCGCAACACATAACATGCGGGAGTATGCGCGCAGCATCGCTGATTGAACATTGGTTCCAACCATCTCCTGAACGCAATCTCCAGGTCTTTTCTTGGACACGTTCAACCACGGCCACAGAGAAGCCCCTCCATGCAACAACGCGTAGGCGCGTGGGGGTTAAGGCATCCACAGCGCATAGACACCGAGTGGGCGTGTTGTAGTCTCCCCCCCTATACTCCTGCTCCCGGTGTTCCTCCTTCAGCTCCTGTTTCCCCGTAATGTCCTGGTCCTCGATGTTCTCTTCCTGCTTGGCCTGCTACTCAATCTCCAAGCATTCCTCCTCTTCCTGACCGCCTTCCTCTCCTCCTTTTTCTCCTTCTCCTCCTCCTCCTGTCCTGCTCTTCTCCTGGCTCAGCAAGATGTATATCTGTATGTCTTAATATAGATGTGTGTGTTTTGGGGGGATATCAAAGAAATCGTGATGGGAAGGCGGGATCTAAAAGGCCATGGCAGGGGCGACGTTGGCCTTTCGGGTCTCCGATCCTATGGTGAATGGGGGCCTCCACGGTGCAGAGGAAACGAGTGGCCATGGTGAGGCACGGGGGGGATGAAAAGGGGGGGCTAGCAAAGGAGGGGTTCGGAAATAATCTTCAACTGGCTGGTGACCTACGCACCTCGAGGCGCCATTGGCGCCGGGCGCGCCCACTCGTATGTGCGGCAGCACAGCAGGACCAGAAACAACCTAATCAACTTTCGGAGACCAGCACAGATTTCTCGGATCGGCGTTGGGGCCCCCTGGCGGCGCACCTGGCGCAGCCCCTGTCGCGCTCCGCGCGCCAAGGAAGGGGGGTCCAGCGCCGATCCGAGAAATGTGCGCGGACCTCCGAAGTTTATGTTTGTGCCATTGTTTGTTCACCCATGCATACTCCTACCCTTCCTTTGCCAACCGCGCGCGTCGGCGAGCATAAAAGGGGCAAGGCTCGGGGGGCAGGCTCCTGAGAGGGCAGGGAGCTCCTTGCAGTCTTGCGTGGACGGAGGCGGTTCCTCAAGAACCTGATGCCCTCCGAACCTTCTGAGAGGCTGGGGGAAGGTTCGGCGGCGAAATCAGAGCCCTATCCTCGCCGATCAACGATAGGGTTCGGGACATGTCGAGCACGTGGTGAAATCAGAAACCTACCCCCGCCTCCCATCCACTCAGGAGAATCGATGGTTAGCGGGGGTAGGGTTCGGATGTTGGAGAGAACGCGTCTCATGGACGCTTGCCTGGGGAACAAACCCTTGACCGGGCCCCCCTCCCAAACAACAATTATCCTAGCAAATGGCCCAAATATATACAGTTGTGAATTCCGCAAAACAAGCGGGACGATCGAATCGGAACTCCGTATGGGGCCGCGAACCACGTGAAACGGGCGAACCGCGTGACGGGTGTGCTAACATAGGGCGAGTACCGCATGCGGGCTGTGGGGGAGACGCATGCGATGACGACCGCTGTGACTTTCGGTGGAGCTCATTATGGGGCCACGAGACGTGAGGGGCGTGACGACATTGGCGGGGGAGGCGCGCGCGAAGACGGCCTCGATGACCTTCGGTGGAGCTCCCTCTGGACCGCGAAACGTGTGAGGGGTGTGCCGAAATGGGTGGGTTTGCCGCATGCGGGCGGCGACCCTGGGACCTTTTGTGGAGCTCCTGATGGGGCCACGATCCGTGTGAGGGGTGTGCCAACATGCGTGGGTCGGACGCACGCGGGCGGCGCCCCTGGGAACTTCGGTGAAACTCCTGATGGCAACACGATCCTCGTGAGGGGTGTGCAGAAATGGGCGAGTCGGACGCATGCGGGCAGCGTCCTTCGGACCCTCGGTGGGGCTCCTTATGGGGCCGCAGTCCTCGTGAAAGGTGTGCCGAAATGGGTGGGTCGGACGCATGCGGGCATCGCCCCTGGGACCTTCGGTGGAGCCCCTGATGTGGCCACGATTTTTGTGACGGGTGTGCCGGCATGGGTGCGTCGGACGCATGCGAGCGGCGCCCGTATAACTTGGGTCGCGATCCTCGTGAAGGGGCGCCCTTGGGACCTTCGGTGGAGTTTCCGTTGGAGCCTCGACCATCGTGAGGGATTTGCTGAATGTGTGGGTCGGACGCATGCGGGAGGCACCCCTGGGCTCGTGATGGGGCGTGCTGAAGCTGATGGCAGTGATGGTGATGATAACGGCGATAATGGTGAGGGGGAGGATCATGCTGATGACAATGCTGACACGCGAAACGCAGAGGCATGGATGGGAGGAGGAAGGGGGAGAGGAGAAGAGGAGGAACGCGGGGCGCTCTTTCTTCAAAGCGAGAACCCAGCACCACAGGACGCCAGGGAATGAGCCTGGCGAAGGACCCAGCTATATTCAATTGTGAGTACCGCAGCTGTGAATACCGCCTTCGGTGGAGTTCCCTATGGGGCCACGATCCTCGTGATGGGGTGTGCCGAAGCTGATTGCGAGGATGGTGCGATGATGATGATGATGATGCTGATGATGCTGATGATGATGAGGAAGAGGCGGCGGCGGCAGGACGGTAATGGGCCGAAGGTCAATGTCTCTCCCTACCCCGCATTCCGGCTGAACTCGGATACGGGCGACCTACCGTGCGCTATATAAGGAAGCGAGCCCCACGGCGGGAACCCCGAAGAGAAATCGCTCAACCACGGCTTAGACTCGGATGCCGAACTAGAAAAGAAATGCGAGGGTCCCATTGGGCCGCTTAGTGCGACCAGAGGAGTCGGAGAGAGAAAGGGAAGCAGACCTTGTACCCGAACGGGAGCTGGTTGGCCTGTCGCGGGACCTCGCTGGAGCCGACGTGGACGACCATCGTTTGCGATCTGCTGGGATCACGCCAACATCAGGGCGAGCCCTGCCAGAAAAGACTACGTCCTCATCAGGCCCAGGACGAGCAAAATCAACATCATACTCCGCACCAGTATCAGAGAAGCCCGTTCCATGGACAACACTCTCCAGACCAGCGGCAGTTAATCCGCTCATCACGCCGACATTAGAGGAATTCGCTGCAGTAGACTTACCCTTGGCGCCAGGCGCGGCAACCACTGATATACCCGCCGCGGGCCCAGCGATCGCAGTAGACCCCCCACCAAGAATAGTAGCTGACTCTAAACCACCAGCATCAGAGACGCCCCTTCCATGGGCAGAAGACTTTTCGCCAGAAGCAGTCAAAGCAGTCAATCCACTGAGGGCGCCGATGCCAATGGAAGAATCCACTCCGCTAGACTTGCCAGCTGCGCCTGACGACGGCCCACCTCCAAGAGGCTTGGATACGGGCCGTCGGTGACAGAGCGAGCTGGCTCTGCGCGAGGCCCAGGGGGGAGTGCGCGCCGTGCCGCGCGCTGCCGCTCGGACGATTGGCCTCGCGGGCTTCGTGCCTGGCCGTCAACGCCACTGCTGCGTCAGTAATCTCATTCCCATGTCTGGTAACGCCACCTGTGGTGTCGTGTGCCGTGGTCGCCGTCGCGCGGTCCTGAGTCGCGTCCTTTCGAACTCGTCGATCGCCAGCTGCAGGATGCGTTCGCCGTTGCTCCTCGGGGCCATGCCGACGCGGTGCTCCGCGCCGAGCTGCTCGAGGCAGGCCGCGAAACTCCTCTGCATCTGCACGTCGCTCAGCGAGATGACTAGCTTGGCCGCGCCGCCCTTGTGCGCCAAGTTCACGCGGAAGCCCCTGGCTAGCAATGTGAGCTCCTCCTGGTCCGCGATGGCGTCGAGGCTGACCTTGTGGCCCTCCCGTGTCTGCTTGCTCCTGGCTCCGACCTTGTCGCCCTCCCTCGAGATCGCCGCGCGCGCCACTTGGAAGGTTTGGGCACGTGCTGGGCCTGGCAGCAGCGCGGCCCGATCTCACCTCGGAGCACTGCGAGAGAGCCACCAGGTGGCACAAATACCCAATTGCTCCAAGAGCTTCGGTAGGGGGGAAGTCGCGCGTGGCCGAATCCACAGGAGGAGGAGGGGGGGGGGGGGGAGACGCAGCCGATAGCCGCAAAATCCGGTGAATGAAAAGAGGAGGGGGAGGCGACGCCATAGCTGATACAGCGAGACCTTGGCCATTGTGATCACGCCGCGCGATGCGGTGGGACCTCGGTTGCGGGGGGGGCAGGGCGCCTGATCATGCTGGGGAAAGCTACGTTCCTGCTGCAGGGCAGCATCGTCGGGGGGGGGGCACGTGAGGTGCAGAGCGCCAGGGCCAGGTGGAGCGCGTGGGGTGGGCCGAACAAAGTGGGTGTCATTTTTTTATGCGTCCCCCCCACCCCGCGGTCAACGCGGACTTCAGACAGTGCGCCGCCCCTCGCGCGGCGCCGCGCCCCCGTCTCAGGGGGGCGAGGCGGGGGTCCCCGGGCCGCGCGGCGGGGGCGACAGTGGCCGCCCCTTCACGCGCGCGCGGAGCTACAAGTCATCGTCGTCGGAGGGGGCCGCTAGGTCTGATGCGTCGCCGTGGCTGGCCGCCGCTGCCCGCCCTCCTCGCGTGAGGTTGATCATGGCGGGCTCCAACTTCTACGCGAGCATCTCGCTCAGCAGCGTCGCAGCCTGCTGCCGCTGCCGGGGCCGCCTCCTCTCGCAGGCGCTGCTCGCGGTGCCGCGGGTGGTCATGGCGGGCTCCAGCTTCTACGCGAGCATCTCGCTCAGCAGCGTCGCAGCCTGCTGCCGCTGCCGGGGCCGCCTCCTCTCGCAGGCGCTGCTCACAGTGGCCGCCCCTTCGCGCGCGCGCGGAGCTACATGTCATCGTCGTCGGAGGGGGCCGCTAGGTCTGATGCGTCGCCGTGGCTGGCCGCCGCTGCCCGCCTTCCTCGCATGTGAGGTTGATCATGGCGGGCTCCAGCTTCTACGCGAGCATCTCGTTCAGCAGCGTCGCAGCCTGCTGCCGCTGCCGGGGCCACCTCTTCTCGCAGGCGCTGCTCACAGTGCCGTAGGTGGTGAACACTTCCGGCTCCAGCTTCACAACCCGCATCCCTCTGTGCAGCGGTAGGGCCGGCTGCCCCGTGATGTGGCTCATGATGTCGGGCTCCAGCTTCGCCGCCCGCCTCTCTCTGAGCAGCGATAGGGCCCGCTGCCACTGCTCGCCCTTCTCGCGCGCTCTGACCGGAGTACCAGAGCTCTTGACGGCGGGCTCCAGCTTCAACACCCGCATCTCGCTGAGCAGCGATGGGGCCCGCTGCCGCTGCCAGCACTTCTCGCGCGCGCTGTTCTGGTCGTTGTAGATCGCGATGGCGGGCTCGAGTTTCATCCCCAACCTCTCGCTGGGGCGGGCCAGAGCTGGCTGCCACTGCCCCTTCTCGCGGGCGCTGATCACAGTGCTGTAGCGGCTGATGTTGGGCTCCAGCTTCACGACTGTGGGCTCCAGTTTCACTCCCAACATCTCGCTGCGCCGAGCCAGAGCTGGCTGTCACTGCCCCTTCTCGCAGGCGCTGGTCACAGTGCTGTAGCGGCTGATGATAGCGGGCTCCAGCTTCGCTCCCAGCGTCTCGCTGAGCAGCGCCAGGGCCAGCTGACACTGCTGCGCCACCGCCGCCACCGCCGCCGCGACTGCCACCACCACCCGTCCCGCCACCGTCCACGC